ATACCCACCTCTCCCTTTTGAATATTCATTCCCCATCCGAAATAAAGGTCCCTGCTTCCCTTTGTGCAGGGGTGCCATGACTTTGGAAATGATTCCTCATGGCCTCCTATTTGCTGCAAATACACTTTACTCTATGTGAGACAACTTCCACTGGTGTAGAGTCTTATTTAACTCGCCAGGAGGCGAACCCACTTGGTTCGGTAACACCAGAAGATGCTGGGTTTAGTTTGGCAGAGGTATGCAAAGAAGGCAGGCCCTAGATGTCTAAAAATTTGCTTATTTGGGCTATGTTTAAAATAAATGGATGTGTAAAATTTTGAGTTTGGTGCTGGTGGGCTTGTAAGCTAACCGTTCTCAGCCTATGTTGAAGAAATAAACAACCTAGGGGCCAATGCACAGAGGCCATCTTTGGCTCATTTATATAACACTAGATGATCTACCCAGTCTTAAGGCCTTAAATACATCTCTATGATGATGACTCCCACATTATGTCTTTAGCACAGACCTTTTCCTTGAGCTCCAGGCCCCTATACCCAACTCAACACTTAACTTGGTTTCTAGTCACATCTCAAACTTAACATATCCCAACCTGAACTCTCCATACCTCCCCTCCCAAGCCAGTCCCTCCTGCAGTCTTACTCATCTCTGTTCTTCCCAGTTGCTCAGGCCTGAAACCTTGGTATCATCCTTGACTCCTCTCTTCTCCTCATGCCACACTAAATCCATCAGCCCTGTCAGCTGTCTCCAAAGTAGATCCAGAGTTTGACTACTTCTCTTCACTCTGGGTGCCACCACCCTGGTCCAAGCCATCAAAATAACCCACCAGGATTATTGCAGTGGTCTCCTTACTGGCTTCAGTGTTTCTGCCTTTGCATCTCCTATAGCCTTCTTTCAACTCAGCAGCCGGAGTGTTGTTATCATGTAGAGTAAATCATGTTAGTCCTCTGCTGAGAACTCTCCAATTGCAAAAGTGAAAATCCTTACCAGGATCTACAAAGCCCTGTGTGATCTGGCCCCTGCCACCTCACCTCCTATGATTGTTGAAACTGGAAAACAGTTAGCCATTGATAATTAAGTAGTTAGGAACTAAAGTTTTTTTTTCCTTTTTTGCAATTACTGATTGTAGCTTTTAGGTGTTCCCCCACCCATTGTTAACTGGGCTCTTTAGGCAATATGCTATCTGACTCCCACTAAATTCTTATAGATAACATCTCCTTGAAGCCTGGGTCACCATGCTAATGGATGTTTGAGCTGTTTTTCAGGAATTAGAACGCCTTGTCCACTTCAGGCCAGTTGAGACCACCCACTCATCAAGTGGGCCCGCGCAGATGTCCGATAAGTGACCTTTTGACGTCAAGAGGCTAAAAACTCCACCCTTGGGTCATGCCAACACCGCCATTTTGTGAACATGCATCCTATGAAGAGGCACGAAGTCTGACTATACTTGCGCAGATCATCAATTACCTCACCTCTCCTCACCTCCAATCATCTATCTCCACATTTCAGACCACCTTGCCCCCTACCCAATAAATATCCCTGAGTCCCTATTTTCGGGGAAGCGGATTTGAGATTCATTCTCCCGTTTCCTCACTTGGCTGCCTTGTGATTAAACCCTCTCTCTGCTGCAATCTTGTCGTCTCGGTGTTTGGCTTTCTGGGCGGCTGGCAAAAATGAACCTGGTTCAGTAACGCTGTCCCCCACACAGGCCTCCTTGCTTTTTTTCAAACATGCCAAGCATGTTGCTGCCTCAGGGCCTTTGCAACCGCTGTTCTCTCTGCCTGAAGGGTCCTTCCCCAGCATGTCCACATGGTTCACACCTTCACTTCCTTTAGGTCTTCACTTTCTCAACGAGGCCTGTTATGTGTCCAAGTGTCTGGTTCCTGAGCTACAGAGTAGTAATTATTGTAGTTAGTTAATTATTTTAGCACCTGACATCTCCCAATTATACTATATTTTACAATGATGTGTTGTGTATTTTCATTTTGTAATGATAGGATCCTTTCTCCCCTCCTGTCCCATCTCAGTGCATAACTCTTCCTTGATAAAATATTAGAGACTGTAACAATTAAAGTATTCAAATAAGAAAAAGACTCTGAGATACAGGTGACTGCATCTGCAGGAGGCTTTGGGAGAGGGAGGCAGAGGCCATTTGTTTCTCACTGTATTAGATATCTAGGGCTGCCGTAACCAAGTACCACAAACCAGGTGGCTTAAAACAACAGAAATTTATTCTCTCCCAGTTCTGGAGGCCAGAAGTCCCAAATCAAGGTGTCAGTAGGGCCATGCTCCCCATGACAGTTCTAGGGAGAATCCTTCTTTGCCCCTTCCAGCTTCTGGTGACCCCAGACGTTTCTTGGCTGGTGGCAGCATAGCTCCAACCTCTGCCACCATGTTCACATGGCTGTGTTCACTCTATGTCTATGTCATCACATGGCATTCTCCTGTGTGTGTAGCTGTATCCAAATTTCCTTCTTCCTATAAAGACACTGGTCATGTTGGATATGGGCACCCTAAAGACCTCATCATAATTTGACTGTAGCTGCGGAGACTCTATTTCCAAAAAAGGTCACCTTCATAAGTGCCAGAGGTCAGGACTTCAACATATCATTTTGGAGCAAACAATTCAACCCATAACACTCACTATAAACCGTTGAGGACTACTTAATGTTTTTACCATCAACATACAGTCATGTGTCACAGGACAGCATTTCTGTCAATGATGGACCACATATATGATGGTGGTCCCATAAGATTAGTACCACAGAGCCTAGGTGTGTAGAAGGCTATACCATCTAGATTTGTGTAAGTACACTCTGTGATGTTCACATAATGACAAAATTGCCTAATGACACATTTCTCAGAACATATCCCTGTCCTTAAATGATGCATGACTGTATATAATTATAGTATTGTTAACTATAGTTCCCACGCTGTACATTAGATCCGCAGAACTTATTCATCTTATAACTGGAAGTCTGTGCCCTCTGATCAACATCTCCCCATTTCGTAGTTTACTATATTTTAAGCGGGGGTTTTATTTTACTTTGGGGTTAATTTTTTCTCTATTTTATATTGAAGTGAAAAACAGAAGAATATAATGAAATCTGCTACACAGATAATTTGGGGGATGTTCTGTTTTAAAAATTTACAACTCAGTATAAGGTAATGCCATACACAGAAATGTACCAAAAAAATTACTAATATTGTATTTTAAACAGAAAACCATGAATAACATTTCATGGTTTAATGACTTGCGTGACTATTTTTAATAGGCAAAAGACTGTCTCCAAACAATAAGTAAACTAAGAGCTCAGGCAATTATTCTTGATGGCCCTGGATAAAACTAGATTACCATAAATTGATAGTACAGAAGTTGAAGAAACAATTAAACACAGTTAACTAGAATTAACTTAGAAAAACTAAGAAAATATTAGACAAATACCATAAGGAATAGAAATAACACCTATCAGAGCAAGAAATGTAAAAAACACAGAGAAAAGCAAGTAAGATTGTATCCTCAGCGCCAACTATTAAAAGCAGATGCAGCACAGACTGAATGCATACAGAGCAGAGAGAAGAAAAATCCTGAGACAATGAGAAACTGTCTTAAATTACGAAGAAGTGGCAAGAGTGAATAAAGGTAATTCAGCAAGTATAGGAGAGACCAGAATACTGCCCACTCCCCCTGGACAGGGTTATCCAGAATGTCTCTGTATGAGAACTGTAGGTGTTTGAGTCCAATATGATTGTTTTTAAAACAATTATCCTTTTTACATTGCTAGTACAAAATTTTTAGTTTTTCTCTATATATCAGTATTTCAATGTGTGTGTAGGAAATTTGATAAATACCCAGATCTACAATGATGTCCAAATTCAATTGGCCTTTCCCTTTCCTAACTAACTGAACTAAGAGTTTAAGATCAACTTTAAGATAGGTCTGTCATCAGACAGGGCTGGGAGGGCTACTGGCAAGGCAGCAAGAACTGTTCAAATTCAATTTGACACAGAACTCAACAAAACAGTTCTGTAACATTGCAATATTAATGAATACTAATAATACAATAACTATATTAATAATGTGTGGGCCGCCGGGTGGCTTAGCCGTTAAGTGCGTGCGCTCCGCTGCTGGCAACCGGGGTTTGGATCCTGGGCGCGCACGGACGCACAGCTTCTCCACCCATGCTGAGGCCGCGTCCCACATACAGCAACTAGAAGGATGTGCAGCTATGACATACAACTATATACTGGGGCTTTGGGGGAAAACAATAAATAAAATTATTAAAAAAAATGTGTAATAATACTAACCAGTTAATTAACAATGAACTGACTTTTAATTACTTTGGATATTCCTCTAATAAGCGAGTTTCTTAACCTCTCTCTGCCTAAGTTTCCTGATCTGTAAAAGTAAAGTTAATCATGGAACCTATCCAGAGTTGTTGGGAGGATTAAATGGGATAACGCGCTATAGCCTGGATAGTAAACACTCTTTTCGGGTAAACAATTAGTAATTGCTATTGGTGACATTTTCTAATACCCATATTTTTTGGCATATGCAATGCTCAAAAGAGGGAAAGGAGCAGGGAGATGGTGTGTATTAATTACTTCTTCTGTACCAGCCACTTTAGCAATACTTAAACCTCCCAGGAGGGCCCCCAGAGCGCTGCACGCACCTCGGACGGGGCCGTCTGCAGGTCACAGGCCTCGGGGGATTTCAGGTCGCGGCCTGAGATGGCTCCTGTCCTCTCCCCGCCACGTCAGCCTCGCGGTCATCCCCCCCTCCTCGTTCCTCTCCGCCCCTCCCCGTGGACCTTCGCTCCCGACTACTGGAGAGACGCGGCGCCGCGCACCCATCCCTACCGGAGGCCCACGCAGCCTAACGGCACGCGCCTCCGGCTGCAAGCCCAGCTGCAAGCCCAGCTGCGACGGTGTCGCAAAAGCGGCGCAAAGGCTTAACGTCCTTGGCGGCTCCAGGCCACCTGTATAAACTGAGCATGCCGGGGTTTGAAAACTAGCGTGCAGGCCGCCGACGTTTTTCGATATAGTGGGAGCTCGATGGAGGAGCGACTCGCCGGTGCCCCGGGCTGCTGAGCTCTCGCCGCCTGCGTGCCCGCAGGGCCATGCTGGCTTCGCGCGTGGCGCGCGGCTCGTGGGGGGCCCTGCGCAGCGCCGCCTGGGAGCCGGGGGCGCGGCCGGGCAAGGGGCGAGCTCGCGGGGCCCTCTTGCCGCTTGCGCCCAGCTGCCTGGGCTGCCTGGCGGGGCGCTGGTGGCTGCGCCCGGCCGCACTCGGCCTGCGGCTGCCTGGGGTCGGCCCGCGCGGTCACTGCTCGGGCGCGGAGAAGGCGGCCCCCAGGCCCGCGGCCGGAGACGGTGCCGCCGCCGAGGCTGGGGACGGGCCCGGGAGCGCCGCCAGCCTGGTAGGTACCAAGGAGGAGAGGAGGGGCAAGCCTGGGTCGGGGTCGCCGGCCCTGCGGGGCTTGGTCCTGGACGCGAGTAACGTGCTCTGGCCCGTCCGGGTCGGACGCTTCCGCTTCAGAACTTTAAAACCCTTCCCTGGAGAGAAGTTACAGCCAGGTTATTCGGTCGGGATGAATTTGAGGGGTACCAACGGGGTCCACCTTCAGTCTCGGTTATCGAATTAGAATCCCTTCCCCCCTTCTATTCGCACCCTTTGTTGGACCGGCCTCTGGATATTGCACTGGAAAAAATGCCGTCACTTGTCTTATTAAAAGCCTATTTTTAATCTGCTGAAGCGAGTCCCCAGTGTTTAGGGCAAGTCTGTGGGAACCTTCAGAAAGGTATATAGACCTTTTTGTTTGCTTGTGCAGGTTTGGTTCACTATCATTCGTCCTTTGGTAATCTTACATATTATAGAATGAAGGATAATTAAATAAGTCGTAATTCAAAGATCCTTTAACCTCTAATTATAGAAAAAGATTAAAATTCTCTTCTGGAGGGAAATATTTGTCCACTTACCTGTTGAAATACTGCCTAAACAGAAGACACCCAGAGCACGAGTGTGAGAGGGCTTTTGATGTCATGTTAGCAAGACTCATGCAATTATTACATCTTCAATTGTTATGTCTTCAGTGGGCCCCTGTACTGCTTTCATCAGTTGTACAGCATGGGTTGAGGTGGCCACATCCTGGCAGGGGTCTCAGCTCCTGATAGCTAAAGCATGTCGAAGTTTGAATGCCGGATGCTTTGAGGTTGCCATATCCTGGCTGAAATCCTTCCCAGAACGGCAGTAGTTGGTCGAGTATGCCACAGGTTATCTGGTTGGGTAATCTGAGATTAGCTCTCTTACTTTTAATTTAGAAACTCTTACAAATTTAATGATTAGAAATTAATGAGGTACTTTGTTTTAGCTGAAATATTTAAGTGGAGCTAAAAAGAACCCCCTTTCACTGTTCCAACAACCTTGAGTCCTGTTTATTAATTCACCAAATGAAATGATCTGGCTGTTTGCAATTTTGTCTTTAATTTTCCTATAGAACATCTCTGAGATTAATTTTGGGAGTCTTTATTCTGACCTTTTGCTTTGTTATTCTTTTTCCTCAATCATAAACTATCTTTTTTTCCCCCTTCTGAGTTGCTGTGACCTTGGATCAGTATTTGACTTATTCTGTACCACAGTGTGGTCAACAGACTTATCTTTTTTTCTCTGGACTCGGAAACACTCTGACCTTTGAACTTGAATTTGGAATCTGTTTCAAGAATGTTTCCATTTAATTATATAATGTCTACTTTCAATAAAAGGTCCTTGAGTAGAAGTTTGTGTTGCTTCTTGTTTGGTGATTGTTTCCCGGAGAATTTGAAGTTTTTGTGTAGCTTTCAATGACAGTGTTCTGCCACCTAACCCCGATAACCCCATTATCCCTCCCAGCTGAGGTGAACATTTCTTGCCAGGTTCTGTTTATAAGAAAAGTTAGTATCTTTAGAGAACTGCCTTTTCTTATAGGATGGTTCAAGGAATTTTGAAAGATGTCTTTAGAAATGGAAACTCACTTTTTTTAAAAATCAGAATTAAGGTTCAGGCAAATTGGTTACTGATTAAGAAAGTAGGGTTAGTCTTGTGAGGAGATAGTTCCATGGGGTAGAATTGGCAGCTTGACTCTGGAGAAAAATCCAGGCTTTAGGGAAAGACATTTTCTTGGTATTATTTCTGTACCCCATTGTGCAGGGTATCCTAGGTCTGCTAGGCTGAGGCTTTTTATCTTTATTTCCTAAGGATCTCAATCCCTATTCCTAGCTCCATTTTCTTCCAGCAATTTTCCAATTTAGTGATGAGGTTATGAAATTAATTTTTTTTTCCCTCTTCATTTGTATCTCCACACGCTCTGGATAGCATTTAGCATTCTTTGATAGGTATGTGTAGAGGAGTGAGGGAGGTTATTTGCGATAAATGTTTCAAGCCGAAATGCCGGGGATTGATAATTTGGCTCTTTTCTGACACTTTCTAGACTGTTTGTCTCCTTGAAATATAAGATCTTCCTGAAGTTTCACTTTTAAAAGCAGAGTGTTGTTAAGTTTTGAATTTTAATGATGAAGTCATATATTAGAGGCTTGACCTATATGGTAGATAATACATGTTTGTTCCTTCTTTCTTTAGGAAGAAAACCAACTCTATATAGCAGACACTTTAGTCTGTGTTTGGGTACATGACATATCTTCATCTTCTATATTCTTGACAGTTTTAGAGCTGTGTCGGGGGAAAAAAAAAGGGATTTAAAAACTCAATTTAAAGTACTAAATTTAAAGTTTATGTAGCTTTTGATCTTTAAGTTGATGGCAGTATAGTTTTCTAATGTGTATAGTTATTTAAGGTGTGAATTTATAGTATTTAATTTAAATTTTGTTGTCTTTGTGTTTCAGTATGAAAACCCATGGACAATCCCAAATATGTTGTCAATGACGAGAATTGGCTTGGCCCCAGTTTTGGGCTATTTGATTATTGAAGAGGATTTTAATATTGCACTAGGAGTTTTTGCTTTAGCTGGGCTAACTGATTTGGTAAGTTGTAAATGCACTCCTCTTGTTTTACTCCCTTCCAAATCCCAGGGTCTCTACTACACTGAAATAGCATGGCCTTAGTCTGCTTTTCCTTGGAAGGAAATCCCCAAGATAAATTTGACCTAGTACTTTGTGTAAGGACTTGTCTTTAGCATCTATATGGGACTCTATTATATTTTATATGACCTAAGGAAGGAAGTGAAGGTTATAGGGAAGCATAGGAGAGGGAGCTTTTTACTCTTGGTTTTTAACTTCTTTTTAAAAGAAAAACCCTTAGAAATTCCCAAAGAGCTAAGTATTTGCTTTAGGGATAGAAATAAAGGAGAGAAGCTATGAGACTATTTTTCTATTTATTGTGGTGGAAACTCTCTGATCTGCAACTACAGTTGGTTTTACTGGTGGAGAGGGAAAACAGTGGGCCGATGTTGTGACCAGGGAGCTTGCAGAGGCTGGAGCTCTGCTCAGGTTTATGCTGCCGGAGGCCTTAGGCACCCCACAGGTTTGGTTCCTGATCCCTGCGCCACACCCCTCTGCCCACTCAGCAGAAGATCTTGCTCTGGGCCAGGCATTAGGCATCTTTCTTCTACTCCCCCAGCAGATGGACAAACAAGAAAAGAGGTCCTTGACACCACTGTGTCAGTTTTGGGGGAGGGAAGGATTTATCTGGGTTATCTCAAATTAGAACTTGGAAAATAATTTTATAACAGAAGGCTACGTTGTGTGTTAAATAGGCTTTTTTGTGGACTGACCAGTGATCATCATATATGACATTATTTGTATTTATTACCCACCTTGTTTCATAAGAGATTTGAAATGGCTTATAAAACTACATGTCCTACAAAAACACAGTTGAAGGAAGTGGGGAAAAGTAGAGAAAAAATTTTAAATCAGGGCAAAGTTAGCATGAAGAAATAGATACAGTATATTCTTGTACAGGGCTGGTCTGAGATCCATGTGAGCACCCAGATGGGCAAAATGATTTGGTGCCCCTTCAAACTGATTTGTGTTTGAAAAACATTGCTTGATATTTATTTAGTGAGGATAAAGAGAAACTAATTTTCTATTAATAAACATTGTATAGCATCTTTCTTTGTAATGTCAGCTATTCCCTTTGAGGTCCACAGAAAAAAAATTCCGCCTGTCCAGTAGCACTGGTGAGCAATATAGAAGTACTGAAGATTTTGCAGGATAAACAAAGGAGGGCATTTGCATTGCTATATGGCATTTCCAAATATGCATCAAAAATACGCTTTCAGAGAAACGTCTCTTTTTCCAGAGTTTAGCTCCTATTTGTCACCACTTTTCCCCATTCTCACAGTTTCTCTCCTTTTCTTTTGTCCCTGCTTTTATGTCTGAAGGCCACAGGCCTCCACTCATTATTAATATGGCCTCCAACTCTGTCAAAGACCATTCTACTGATAATGGAAATTATTTTTCCCAACGTAATGGACAAGATCTTTTTCAGTTACTGGATTTGCTTTTTTTTTTTGTTTTTAGGTTTTTTTAAGCTTATACATGAGATTGCAATATTCAATTGCAGTGAATGAGAAAGGCCTTATTTACATTTTTCTAAATATATGTATATATAAGGCAATGTGTGTGGAAACCTGTGTTACCTGACATCATATTTCACCTTTACTCCATGGAGGTTTTGATGCCTCTAGATTGGCTGCAGGGCAGATGGCTGGACTCAGGTAGGGTTTAGGTGAGGGATTTATGTTGTCTATGGGAAATAGGTTATAGGAAGGCAAGAGTGGAAGCAGAGAGGCTGGTTAGGAGGTTTATAGTTACCTAGGGGAGTGGTGATGATAGCTTGGACAAGGGTGGGAGTTTGGAGTTGAAGAGAAGTGAATGGGTTTGAGATATGTTTTGAAGATAGAGTCGATATGTTGATGGATTGCATGGTGTGGTGAGAGAAAGAGGAGTTAAATATGTCTGGTAGGCTGTTACTTTTGTTTTCTTTTCAACAACCAGGTGCATGAAGGTAAATCTTCTGTGATGGGCAACACTCAGAGTAGGACAGGGTTTGTGGAAAAACACCAAGAGTTGCTATGCCTGTCCACATGGAGGTATCAATTGGGTAGTTGAATATAGTAGTTTGGAGTTGGAGGAAGTCATGGTTAGAGATAGATTTGAGAGTTATCAGCATATAGATGGTCAAGTCTGGATGAAATCGTCTAGGCTGTGATGGAAGAAGAAAAGGGGTCAGAGAAATGAGCAATAAGTGGAGAGTGTACAAGAAGCCAATAAAGGATACTGAGAAGGAATAGCTGGTGAGAAAGGAAGAAAATTAGGCAATAAGGTGTCACAGAAGTTAAGTGAAGAAATTGCTTCAATTGTGTTGACGTCAAGTAAGCTAAAAATGTAGAATTCATTGGTGACCTTTATGAGCACCATCTCTAGAGGAGCGGGGACAATCAGATTGGGCTGGTGAGCAAATGCGAGGTGGTAATGACAATCGATATTGCTTTGAGGAAGTTTTGCTTTGTAGAGCAATAGGGAAATAGCGTCAAGGAAGGGTAGTTTTAAAAGCTGTATACACTGGGAAAGTTTGTGTCATTAATTAACTGATCAATTAGTTAAATGACTGGGTAGAATGGGAGAGATTGATGATGCAGGAGAGATGGGGAAGGAGAGGCAAATCAGAGAAGGTGAGGGCCTGGGATCAGGGATCAGGGAAGGCGGAGAGAGGATGTGAATGGATGCAGGTAGGTGATGGATTTGGAGGTGGGAACATGAGGGGGTCTGACACTTTGTTTCTGTTTTTCAAGGAAAATACAGACATGATCATGAGCTAGAGTGAGAGGCTTTGGGAGGAATGGAGTAGGTTTGAGGTGAGAGCAGACAGTGTGAAAAGAGAAGGTAAAACAGGCAGGTATAGGATTGCCAGGCAGTATTGAGTACCCATGGGAGATTCGTGGTCATGGATTTGAAGTGAGACTAGTTGGCACGTTTTGGTGTTTTTCTTGAGCAATGTTCAGCTGCTTGTGTGCAGGCCTAGAGTACATGGATAGTTGTGTGTAAGCTGGGTGGAGGGAGAGTGAAGCAAGGGAGTTAGAGATGTTTGCAAAAGAGTAATGATTTTGATGACCTTGGAATCTAATGTGGGTAGAGGAACAGTGAGGATGAGAGGATGATGATGGTGAAAAACTGGGAGATTAAGTTCCCTGAGATCAAAAACTGAACTGAAACCTGAATCTTCCAAGGCCCCAACTCCCGGTTCTAGGCACTTTCTGTTAGACATTGTTGCCTCTAGTATGCTTAAGAAGAAAATAGTTTCTTTCAATTGTGGTAGTAATAGCTAGTAACGGCTTCTGTTGAGGATTTACTAAGTGCTGAGTGCTGAACGAGTATTAATCACATTATGTGCTGAAGACAAACAACCCTTTGAGGTAGGTAATATTATCTCTGTTTTACAGGTGAGGCAACTGAGGCTTAGAGAGGCCAAATAACTTGCCCAAGGTCACACAGTTAGTAAGTGGCTGAGGCAGGTCTTGAACTAGTTATGTTCTGCTGCAAAGAGCAGTTTCTTAACCGTTGTCCTGTACTATGCTGTCTCCTCTAACTCACTGGAGTACTTGAGATATGGAGGACTTATTTATTCTTTAAAATGTACTGTGTTAAATTACATCTAAATTAATTTAATCTTTTTCCTTGGAAATAGGACTAGAAAATTCAAACATTTGTTGAAGCTTGAAGTTAAATAAAATGAGTAAAAGCCAGGTAGAGACTTGGAAAACCAGAAAATATCTGTCTTGTCTAATGGGGATAGACAATACTTGGTTTCAATCCATTTTGTGGCACCAGGGTGGTCAGATCTTTTCATTTCTCAAGTGAGGCTAGAGATCTGGAATTTTGTGGTAAGACTTTGAATATTTAAATATTGGCAACTAATTTATATTTTTAAAAGCTCTGGGCAGGTCAAACAAAAGCAGCCTGTAGGCCCCATTTGGCCCACTGGCAAACAGGTATGACCTCTGCTTTAAAATATAACTTGTGGGCCGGCCCCGTGGCTTAGCGGTTGAGTGCACGCGCTCCGCTACTGGCGGCCCAGGGTTCGGATCCCGGGCGCGCACCAACGCACCGCTTCTCTGGCCATGCTGAGGCCACGTCCCACACACAGCAACTAGAAGGATGTGCAACTATGACATACAACTATCTACTGGGGCTTTGGGGAGAAAAAAAAAAGGAGGAGGATTAGATGTTAGCTCAGAGCTGGTCTTCCTCAGCCAAAAGAGGAGGATTAGCACGGATGTTAGCTCAGGGCTGATCTTCCTCACAAAAAAATAAATAAATAAAGTACAATAAAATAAAATAAAATATAATTTGTTTCCAAGAATAGTGAAAAATAATTTGCATATCAAAAATTTTAAGTTGGCCAAGTACAGAGGATTGAGTTTTTATTCAAATACAGTCAAACATGGAACTAACAGTGGCACTAAACAAAACAAAAAGGGAGTTGGATCATATTATAGAAAAACTTAGGGAGTTGGATCATTATAGAAAAGTAGGTAGGAGTGAAGTTAGAGAGTTTCACAGTTAAAGGGTAGTCCTTGCAAGTAAAGGCAGCTGTAGTGAACTAGCCCACGCTCAAAAGAGGGGGCTCCTAGTCCATGCTCTGTCAGTCATGCTTGCCGTGAGTTTTATTTGGGTTCTTTACATCTCTAAATTTGTGACTGGGCTCATCCTGCAAAGGGGCATTGTGAAAACATTGAGAAATACCAGAAGACTTTGAGAAAGAAAAGTACTGTAGAAAAGTTATTTTCAGACCAGTTGATAATTTGAAAGCTAAACGTATACCAGGGAAAGAATGAGAAGTTTTGGGGTAAGAAACAGAAGAGGTTTTATTAACATTTTGTGAAAGTATAGTTGTTATTCTGGTATCTCTTAACCTTCAAGATATCTACTCTGTACCTATTATGACATTTATTTAAAAAAAAACTTCTATTTTCAGTTGGATGGATTTATTGCTCGAAACTGGGCCAGTCAAAAATCAGCTTTGGGAAGTGCTCTTGATCCACTTGCTGATAAAATACTTATCAGTATCTTATATATTAGCTTGACCTATGCAGATCTTATTCCAGGTAAGAATGCCGTCATGCATACTTTTAAGTAGCATAGGGAAGAGTGACATTGGTCAGCTTAGGATTTCTCTTGATTGAGAGATAAATTTTTGTTCCAAAAATATATTTTTCAACTTTAAACTGTTTCCCCCCTAATTTTGAACTATTCAGCTATTTTGCTTGTCAAGCTATTTGTTTTACTTTAGAATTTATGTCCTTGTTATATTAGTAGAAGCCGTTGTTTTTTTAGTAAGATTATTTAAAGTTAAAATTAAGCAAATATTATTTCACAGTGCCAATTCATATTAGTCTAGAATCTTTTGAAACTGTATTATATCTTCTTAGTGCCTTTAAAGCAATTTAAAGTTTTCCTATTATTTATCAAGTACAATTTAATCATAATAAATGAGAGCTTTGAAATCCTGAAGATGTCTATAAAATTTCACATTATTATTATTACTTAGACACTGTTATGCAATTTCAAATCATACATATAGTTTGTATATTATGTGAATACTTTTTCTAACAAAATTTTATGATCTCGTGCTTTGTATTTTGCATGTACTTTTCTGGTTGTTCATTTTCTACTTAGCTGTATTTCTCACTTTTTCTCCCTCAGTTTAGATAAACTTTTTATTTTCAAGAGTTAGAAATATAGAGTCGGAGAACAAAGAAGCTGCCCCGTGGTCTTTCAGTAGCGTGTTATTATTGACATTTGATAGGAAGAAGTGTAGTGGTGTTTCAGTCTAGTATAGTGTCCTCAATCTAGAGATTCTTTTTCTCCTCTATCTTTAGGCTTTTAAATTCCCATACCAAATTAAAAAATGAATTGGATTAATGTTTATATTTATGTGTTTGAAAGTCAGAATTGTGGGAAAAAAGAACGTAAGGAGCATTCGGTTGACGTTATTCAAAAATCAAATGATTGTGTGTGCGCCAGTGCGCAGTTGCATGCCTCCAATTTTTCAGGGCTATATTTTGTGTTTTGTTGTATTTTACAAAGGTTGGCCAGGTATTTCCCTGTTGAACATAGAAATTGTTTCCAGGTTCTGGTATTATGAGATTATGTTGCTGTGAGCTTTACCTAAATATTGGTGTAAGTTGCTTTCCAAGCTGAGACTTCCCTCCATTATCATTCTGGGAATTGCCATTTTCTCTTATGTGTTGGGTCTGTTTTTCCAGGCTCCCATGGCTTCCTTGTTAAGGTCTTCCTTTTGGTGGAGTGCAGCCTCCAGTTGTTTCCTGTGTAAGGATGCAGCATGGCAGCCAAAATTTTAGAGGTCTACAATGTCTTTATTCTAAAGGCATCTAAAGTGTCTTTCTTCTACCCTCCATACTTGACTAAGATTTGAACTGTGCATAATTTTCAGTTGCAGGTTATTTCTACTCAGAATTTTGAAGGCTCTGTTCTGTAGGCTTACAGATTCCATCTTGCTGTTGAGAAGTCTCATGCCATTCTGATACCTTTTCCTTTATATGTAGTTATGTTTTGTATTGGAAAGCTTTTAAGGTTTTTTTTTTTTTTTTCACATTATTCCTAGTTGATGTTTTTAAAAAGTTCTCTCTTAAAAATTTATTTTCTGCTTCTGTGGATACTCAGTTATTCCAGCACTTGTTATTGAAAAATCTGTATTTTCCAGACTCATTGCAATGTCTGTATATACGTGGGTCCATTTCTGAGTTGTCTAATTTTTCCCCGTTGTTGTGTTTGTCTGCACGAGTACCATTCTTTTTTTGTGTGTGTGAGGAAGATCAGCCCTGAGCTAACATCCATGCCAATCCTCCTCTTTTTGCTGAGGAAGACTGGCCCTGGGCTAACGTCCATGCCAATCTTCCTCTACTTTATATGGGACACTGCCACAGCATGGCCTGACAAGCGGTGCATCGGTGTGCGCCCGGGATCCGAACCTGTGAACCCCGGGCCGCCGAAGCGGAGTGCGCGCACTTAACTGCTATGCCACCGGGCCGGCCGCCAGTTTGCTGATGTTTTCTTGAAGATTTCATATCTATATTTATGAGATTGGCCTGGAATTTTTTTCTCCAAATATCCTTGTTAGGTTTTAGTATCAAGTTTATACTAATCTCATAAAATGATTTAGGGAGTCTACTCCTGCCCCCCCCCCCCCCCACTTTGGGGGAGATTTTTTTTTTTTTCCCTTGAATTGTCTTGCCAGAGGTTTGTCAGTTTTATGATCTTTTCAAAGAACCAACGTTGGCCTTTGTCAGACTTCTCCAACTTCTTTGGGTTTTCTTTGCTGTTCTTTTTCTAAATTCTTTAGATCAGTTCTGTCTAGTAGAAATATAATAAGAGCCATATATGAAATTTAAAATTTTCTAATAGCTATATTAAAAAGAAACATAAGAATCATTTTAATAACAATTATTTAACCCACTACATCAGAAATGTCATTTCAATATGTAATCAATAAAAAATTATTAATGAGATTTTGTTTCATACTATGCTTTTGAAAGGCAGTGTGTAGTTTGCTATTACAGCACCTCTCAATTCAGACCAGCCACGTTTCAAGTGCTTTTTCTTCACATGTTAACTAGTGGCTGTTGTATTGAACAGTGCAACTATAGATGGATGCTATTTAGCTCATTTCTTTTCAGCTTTTCTAAAGTTTGCATTTAAGACTATACATTTTCTTCAAAGTATCCCCTTCACTGCATCTCATATGTTGATATTAGTACTTTTGTTATTATTGAGTTCAAAATATCCTATTTCCGTTATGATTTTTTTCTTTGACCTAGGAGGATAAGAAAAATGTATTTCTTAATTTGTGGGATATTTCTAGGTATCTTTTTGTTATTGATTTCTGGCATTATTACCTTGTATTCAGAGAATATGCTCTGTTTTTAGCCCTTCAGCCCAGTATACAGTCAAATTTTATTAATATTTTATGCATGCTTCAAATGAATGTGTATTCTGTAGTCATTGGGTATGATGTTCTGTATGTGTCCATTTGGTCAAGTTTTTAATCCTAATGTTTAAATCTGTTTCTTTACAGACTTCTTTTTGCCCTTTGGTCTGCTTGTTCTGTCAGTTACTGAGAGAGTATGTTAACGTTTCCTACTGTGTATCTATTTTTCTTTGTAATTCTGATTTTTGCTTGTGTCTTTTGAAGTCATGCTATTAAGTGCATATAAATTAGAATTGTGTCTTTTTGGTGAATTAAATGTTTTATTATGAAGTGACTCTCTATATCTCTAGTAATAATTGTGAACTTAAAGTGTCTTTTGTTGAGTATTACACTGGCTACACTGGCTTACTTTTGGTCAGTGTTTGCGTGATAGATAACTCTTTTACTTGCAACTTGTCCATATCTTTATCTCTTGTAAACAACACATAGATGGATGGATTGTCTTTATTTTATCTAGCCTAAAAATATTTTATATTTCAACTGAATCATTTAATCCATTAACATTTGCTGTGATTACTAATATTTGTGTAGCAGTCTTCCATTTTATTTTATGTTTTATTTGACCCACATGTTCTGTCCTACTTTTGTATGTTTTTTTTTTTTTTCCTGAGGAAGATCAGCCCTGAGCTAACATCCATGCCAATCTTCCTCTTTTTTTGCTGAGGAAGACTGGCCCTGGGCTAACAACATCTGTGCCCATCTTCCTCCACTTTATATGGGACGCTGCCACAGTATGGCCTGACAAGCAGTGCATCGGTGTGCGACCGGGATCTGAACCCAGGCCGCCAGCAGCAGAGCGTGCACACTTAACCACTACGCCATGGGGCTGGCCCCCCGGCCCCTGTATTTTTTATCATTATATTTGTTTTCCCTGTACCAGTTTGAAAGTTTTACACTCTGTTTCCATTTAGTTTTTCTCAAAATGATAACTTTCATCCTTATCAAAGCTTAATGTTAACAACTCTATACACGTTCTGGGCACTGGAAGGGCCTTAGAATACTTTAACTCCATTTATTCCTTTCTCAACTTAGGTTATTGTTGTCATACTTCAGTTTTTTTTTTTTTTTTTTTTTTT